CACTTTCGTCGCGTCGCGGGGCGCCCCCTCCTCACCTGCTCGCCGCTCGCCCGCAGCCCGGCGCCCCGATTGCCACCGCTCCCAGCGCTCTGCCAGCAGAACTGCGAAGACGCGCGCCCACGCCTCTGCAGCAGAGCCGGCAGGGATTGCGCAGGACTCGATGCGGCAGGACCCGTTTGCCGCGAGGGTGTCGGGGAGGGGCGGAGGGATACCGCGGGGCCGCAGACGCCCCCTCCCAGGCCCACCGTAGTTCCGACCCGGACGTGGGCGGGGCCGGCGCCAGCCGCAGTCTGCGAGCTTGCGCAGCAGCAGCGCGCCTCGGGGTCTAGGCGCGCCCTCACGTGCAGACCACTGCTCGGGCCCGGCCGCGACACGACGCCACGCTGCTCTGCCTTGTGGGTCTTGTGGGGACTGTGGACCTGGCAGAGACTGGGCTGTGGGGATGTGCAGGGTGGGCGTGGTGACCTCAGGAGGCTGGCAGGGGCGGTGCTGGAGGCCGCGGCGGATGGATACCTACCGCCCCTCTGAGATCCCGCACTGCAGTCTAAATAGAGCCTGCCCCCTCCTCTGCAAGCCTCCTCCTTTGTCGATGCTGGGGGAGGGGGTGCCAGGGATTGCGGGCTGAGCTGGGTGCGACTGCGCAGCACAGCGCCAGGGAGGTTCCCCATGTTTATCTTCCCATTGTCTCTAGCCCTGAAGGTGGGGAAGGCTCTTCTGCTCTTCAGGATACTCAGGCAAATGGGAGCCCCTCAAGGGTGCTCCTTTTGCAGAGGAAGGCTGACCTAGACCTGTCAGCCTAGGAAACCAAGCACAGCTCTGGACCCAGACTCACTCTCTCTGCCACACTAATTGTCAATTCTCAAGGGAGCTCCTTTGTTCACTGTGCTTTCCCTGCAGTTGCCCAGGAAGAAGCCTCGTCCTGTATGGGCACCCACAGTCCTCTTTTTCCGCTGCCAAGAGGCCATGGGTCAGTCACCAGGTGGGACCTCAGCCTTGGCTCCCAAACCACTCTTGTCAGGATGGATGCCCACTTCTCAAGCATTTCTTCAGGCAACTCTGAGCTGGTCTCCTCTACTCACTCTGTAAGCTTTGTATCTTGCTTAATGAATGCACATACTCCTTTCCCCTAAATGCATGCAAGTGTTGATTCTGGCCAGACTAGGATAATTTAGGTTATATTGTATGTTTCACAAAGGAAGTTTTCTTTTTCACGTCTTTTCACCACTGTGTCCTCAGGGCAGTAGACAAAGTTATCAGTAGCTATGGCAGGGCTGGAGCAGCTGGATCATGAAAATTCTGCAATACCCTTTACTGGTTCCATCCCAGTGGACTTAGCCCAGGTTTTCCCACAAAGGTAATAAATGGTCTCTGCACAGCTTTTCAACGGAGAAAAGGAGCAAAAGGGAACTGCAGAGATTGTGAACTACCTCTGAAGCACACTGATGTTAGAAATAATACTCATGTTTCTATTTTAAATTATAGGGCACAATACTGGCACAATAACAGACATGAGGACTGGTGGAACAAAATAGAGGATGTACCAGCAACCCAAGCACATCCAACAATTTGTGCTTTGACAAAAGGGCCAAAAATATATATAGGAGGAAAGATACACTCTTTAATAAATGGTGTTGGGAAAACTGGTTATCCACATGCAGAAGATTGAGTCTAGATTTATATTTCTCACCATGCACTGAACTAAAATCAAAATTGATCAAATAGGGCCGGGGAGATGGCTCAGTAGGATAAGTGCTTGACTGGCAAACACAAAATTGATCAAATAACTAAATGTTAACCTGCTGCAAGATAAGATAGGTAATCCTCTTGAAGTCATAGGCATATGAAAGGACTTTCTGAATAGAATCCTAGTCTCTCAGCAGATAATGCCTAGAATCATTAAGTAGGATCATATCAAAAAGCATCAGCACAACAAAGGAAACATCCAACAGAGTGAAGAGACAACCTAGAAAATGGAAAATAAGGTTTTGCCAGATATTCCTCAGAGGGCTAATATTTAGAATTTTGAAAGAATTAAAAAAAAGGAACTCCCAAAGTAAAAATATGAGCAAATGAGTAGAAACTTCACAGAAGTACAAATGGCCAATAAATATATCAAATGTTCAGTATCGCTTCCTATTAGAGAAATGAAAATTTAAACAACAGTGTGATTCCATTTTACCCCAGAAAGATGGCCATCATCAATAAAAATGATAACTAATGCTAATGAGGCTTGGGGAAAACCAAACATCCATTATTAGTAGGAGCGTAAATTGGTGCAAACACAATAGAAATCATCATGGAGATTCCTCAAATAATTAAGACTAGAAATTCCATTTGACCCAGCTATTCACTTTCTAAATATCTTCCCAAAAATTTTAAAGACATCCTATTGCAATGATACATGCACACCCATTTTTATAGCTGTGTAGAGTGGCTGAAGCAGAATGAACGCACGTGTGGGGCTAGAGCAAGGCTCCAATATGTGAACAACAATGTGAATGTG